AAGACTGTTTAGTTCCTGAAGCTAAGTATAGACGTAGGAATCAGCGTTGCAAAGGGAAAAGTTTATTTAACAGAGACCGACTTTGTAGACTCAGAGGGACCCGTTCCGATCAGCTTCGCGAACTATAAGTTTACCCCACGGCAAGAACCTCAAATTACGGTTGCCGGTAGTAAACACGTACACTGCTGCTTTTTGCTTCGGCAGTAAGAATGCCTTGGAACACCAGGGAACAACATGAAGCGATCGAGAGACACACACGACATGATCTGCAGCTTAGTCGCTCATTGACTAACTCATTATTATTGGAGGCCCGGAACTAGTCCAACGCAGCACATTGCCATTTCTAGTGACAACATGAGTTTGTGCTCTCCAGAGCCCTAAGACGGCGGGACATATGACAGCAGGTGATGGCCTGTGATGGCCTGGAGCTCAAGCCTCGAGGAGTCAAGGCTGCGTAATGACAGAGCCTCGTCAACTATTTAGGAGTCTTGTTTCCTTGGAGTCAAGTTACCATCAACGGATTTAATGATCATCTTCGTGACAGGGTAAACATCCGCGGAAGTTGAAGGATACACATCCAGCAACCTGCCACAGAGATTCGTTTACCCGCGGCATCACGAATCATGCACGCATAATACCTTACGCACAGCAGTCTACAGGGGGATCTTCAGGTGCTGTTGAAGCCTATATGAGCTTACGGGTGAAGGGCTGCCACAGATCGATCATAAACGTTATATGATTTCAACTTGCGTATAACTGACAAAGTATTTGTCCGCGCACGGCGCAAAGTGCACAGCCGAGGAGGATTTCTCGTTTCAGGATGGATGCGTGCTCTTCAGCAAGTAATACTTGGTCTTGATGCGGCATAGACCTGGCCTCAGAGTGGGAACGGGGAACACCCGGTGGTGCACACATCAGAAGTTTCGTCACGTTCTCCGGCGGCCAGTACAGCCAGTCACCTCTGAATGATTATTATCGACACATGACCAATCAGAAAACGGATAGACAAGACCCAGCGGACTGGAACTATAACTGATTATCACAGTCTCTCCGTGTGTGGTTTTTGCCAATTGAGAATTTGGACTCGGAGTCCGTGTGTTTGACGGGGCGACGATTCATGCTAGCCTTTTATGTGCCAATATTTGCGAACGAAGAGAAGGATGTGTGTTGTGTCGAGACTCGAGAGCCCCAGGAAGGGCAGATCCGGAGTCCAGGCTGAACTTGGCTTGAACACCGACTCAACAACGGTTTACAGCATGATTGAAAGGCACAATCGATCATTAAGTCATCAGCTAGACCTTTATATCACTCCGCTCACCTCATTTTTCATACACCTGCCTTCCTCGAGGCTCGCGGTCGAATAGTTCATGACTCAATTGTATGCTGTTCTATGGACCATAACAGTACTAGTGCTATTTGCCGAGCCGTTCAAACTGCGATGGGCTCGGTTTCGGTGGAGTAATCATTAAGTAAGTATACAGGAGAATTTCCAAGCTAGTAACTTCTTCAACTTGCCCTTCTTTCTTCTGAGTGAATCCGAAACGCGACAAGCGATATCGATGCGCATATTTTGCTGGTCAACGAAACTTGTTGCAACGAGCAGAAACCTAGGCTTGACCGCGTACTATGGCCGCAAACCCTCAGAGCCCATTGGAAATCTGCATATCCCTGGCCAGGCACTTGGTTTGTCTGACCGTGCAACTCAAAGTTTCTGTTTTGCGAGCATGTGCATTATGCAGTGCGTTTCCATGTCCCCATGCTATCTATAGTATAATATCAGATCTTTCACCTCCGCAGATGAGGGCACATGGTTTCCGCGGACAGTCAGCACTAAATGGGTCAAGAATGAGGCTGAAATCAATTTTGGTCACAATGGGTCTTCTCCGGACGCTCCGTTTGCGCTCCGTTCCTCTGAGTTTCCTGGCTAGTACTTCTGTCACTGTTGCCTCCTTTTTTACTCATGAATTTGGTTCCAGAGGCCTTAACTGTCTGCATCTCGGAAATAAGTGCCTGAAGTAACTCGCCGAGTTTCCGCACATAGTGTTTCGGGATCTGTCCCTCGTCCCCGCGGATCCGTGTGCAGGGAACGATGCTCGTGTGTGTATGCATCAAGTCGCCGATGGGTTCAAGCAGCGCCGTATTTCCTCAGAGTACAACTTTATTCAGTCGGCTTCAGTCACGTATTCTTCTGACATTCCCAGACTTCCAGACTTTTGAGGGTACGCTTCCAATTCTCGCATGCTAACGCCTCGAACCGCCTTGATGTTCGTCCTACTAATATATTAGGTTTTCACATTTCATCACTAGTTCTCAGCCTCCATGAGCTCATCACCCACTCTTACTCTATCGCGATGCGCGACTATGAACAACAGCATCGTCATCGGTGAAGACAAGATGCCGATAGTTTCCTCACCTGCTTCTCTTCACAAACAGTCACTGGAAGCCTGCCAGCAGGTGACACTTGAATGCACACAGCAACAACAGCCTGCTGTGGTCGTCACTCGTACCCACTTTTTTCTGATCATGGCGAGCTTATGGATTGGCAACTTTACTGCTTACTTCAACGAGACTACTGCCACAACTGCCATGCATATCATCGCAGCTGACTTCGATAACCTCGCTAACCAGAACTGGATCGCAACATCGTACTTGTTGGGCTTCACCGTCACCCAAACCCTTCTCGGCAGATTCGCTGACATCTTTGGGCGTGCCCAAGTGTTCAATGGTACGATGCTTATTTTTGCTGCTGGAACTCTGTGGTGTGGGCTGGCCACGGTACGTTCCTCTTTGGTCTCGCGCGTCCACGGGGATTTCTGACATACCCACGCATTCAAGAACATGAATTCATTGATTGGTGCTCGCCTTCTTCAGGGCATAGGTGCCGCTGGAAGACAATCTGTTGGCGTGATCATTATTTTGGATTTGACAACGGCGGACTCACGAGGCCTGTGGTTGGGATTTTTCAACTGCGCCTCTGCAATTGGTCTAGCGATTGGGCCCGTGCTAGGCGCGGTCCTTTCCGTTGATGCAGATTGGAGATGGATATTCTGGATCACGCTCATGCTCATTGGGATCACGCTGGCCATTGGGACAACGTGCCTCCGATACCCTGTTCCTCATCGAAAGCAACGCATCGGATTGCTTGCACAGCTTGGAGAAGTGGATTACATTGGTTCGGTACTTGCCGTTGCGGTCTCGAGCATGATATGTATTGCAATTGAGATGGGAAACAAGTTGTTCCCTTGGAACGTAGGTACATGGCTTCACAAGCATTTCGTACTGACATATACTGCATTTCCTAGTCGGCACCTATCATTACTCTTTTCATCTTTGGAGGTCTCCTCATACCTGTCTTTGTTTTCTACGAGCTCAAGGTAGCCGAACACCCCGTTGTTGACATCCACCTTTTCAGCATACCGAATATCCCCATCACTTGTTTGATCAATTTTCTCACTGGAGCTGGCTACTTCGGTTCCGTCTTCTTCCTTCCCCGTTACTTCATCGATATCAAAGGTTCTAGCCTCATTCAGTCCGGGCTGCAGATGTTTGGCCTCATCCTCACGCTCGGCATCTCTTCGGTCGCAGGGGCTAACATCCTCGCGCATACGGGGCAGGTGCGCCTTATTGGTGTAGCAGGCGGCGTTTTATATGCACTGGGTAGTGCTTTAATGTTGATGGTGGGACAGTACACACCTGCAGTGACAACTATCGGCTTTTCCATCATCACGGGCATTGCGTCCGGTCTACTCTACCAGCCTTCTCTTGTTGTTGGGCCAATGTCTGTCAAACCCCATCAAATTGCGGGAATCAGCGGGTTCTTGTCTTTTCTACGAACATTGGGTGGTACATTTGCCACTGCGCTCCTCACAGCAATATACGAGACTAGCTTCACGGAATCGCTCCGCGGGAAACTCCCTGACTCGTTGGTGAACCAGGGGCTTGAGCTCGCGGACGATCATATTGCTTATCCCGAGTACGAGGATCAGATCCTTGCCGCACTCGTCAAAGCCTATCACTTCGGGACAATACCGGCTATCTGTTTTGGCGTTAGCTACGCTATAGCAGTGGTCTTTCTCTGTAACGTGGACTTCACCCCGGCGTGGAAACGGAAACGGATAGCAGAAAAACAAAAGAACGAGGAAGCTTGACCATCACACATGGATACTTACTCTCGGCATACCTTATTGACGCATACTCTTGACGCAAACACGGTTCTCCATCGCATCTTGCATTTTCTGTCTTGTGTTTGCTCTTGCCTGATTTCACGAGAACATATCCCATAGCTGATATATTTTCGTCGGCCTGACAAATAGCATTGACGCCTTGCTTAACTACCTCATGGACATATAATGATATGATGAGTAGAATAATTATGTATGCGCTGTATGATTTATTTAATGTTCTACATAGCATTTGGAGTCGCTACAAGCGTCTTTTGTTTTACTATATGATTGGGTAAGGACCGGGAACTTGTTGATGAGTCAAGAGTCAAAATTTGAACAACTTTCTGGAATGGCTGGTTCCGAGACCAGAAACTAGGGAGATCAGATCTGCATCCCGTTGGAAGGGTGAATGCACTGCGCATCACGCACGGCAAACTCGGCGATCGCATCGAAACCGCATTATAGAACTGGCGCCTCGGATACCCAGTGCTTGGTTATGGAAGTTACGGCATGTATAAATCCCTTTTACAATTGTGATTTGCTGAATGCAAGCAGACACGCGCGTGCGCAGTATTCTCGGCCCTTGAAGAATAAAGCATTTACCTCTTGGGACTTGGAACTGAAATCCCAGAGACCGAGTCATCAGCGACCCAACTGCCATAAATGTATCTTCAGGTGAATATTCTTCCGCATTCAACAGACGGATACTAATGGTTCTGCCTAGTAACGGCTTGGTCGAGAACAGTAGCATGCAGGTGACCTCCGCTTTGTAAAAGGGGTGCAGAATGGCCAAGGGGTTTTACTACCCCAAATCCAGCTGCCTAATTCGACGGGAAGTCAACTATTATGGGCGTACTCTTCGATCACAGACCGAGGCTGCGTGTACTTGCCCAGTGGCTTGTACGGAATATGTGTGAATCTATGCACATGGTTTCAATTATGGCGAATGGCTCCATGAGAAGAATCATGGTACAAACCCAAACGCACTCGGGCCTCCGAGAGCAATGCCACGTTCAGAACCGGTCCACTGGGGAGCCGCGGTGATCCCGAGCACGAGAACCCGCAACCCATATTTGTATTGAGGCGTGCCGAGAGCAGACCCATTTTGAGCATCGAGCACGGAGATTAGATCAGGAACAGTTGCGACCATCTCCACGTTGATACTTTTAGCACCGACTCGGGAGTAAAGGAACATGCTCTCACAGTGGTTATGGCGTCATCCGTGGTATGTTCTGCATACAGATTCTCGTTCTTGAATGGAATGGTGAGTGTTCCGGTGAAGCGCTCCATGGGACGATCAGGGTCGTCATCATCAAGATCGTCATCTACAGTCAGCGCGGTGATGACAACTTCTCCAATCGTATGACCTTTGTAGAGACTGACACAAATAAATGGTGTTGCGTAACAGGAGATCGAAATAAAACTCACCGCCTTCCCACATCGGTGATCTTGCCCATGAACAACACTCTCGCGGAGTTGGAGCCACCTACGGCGTCAACAAGAATTGATCCAATCCGAGACAAACTTGATTGTTTGCGAGCAAGTGCAATAGCTCGTCCAATGCGCCAGCTCAATGACACTGTGTTCTTAATCATGGCATTATCCACATAATCAGCTTTCAGAGGGCGGCTGGCCAGTCCCACGTGTGTCCTAATTAATGCACGCGAGGCACCACGTAATCACCACGCATAGTACTCATGACACATGCCACCACTCACCCCATTTCAACGCATGCCGCTCGTAAAGAGGCATCAATATCAATGTCACGTTTGGCCTTTGTCATAATCTGTAAATAGTTCGTCGATTTTGACTGAAAACGTGAGAGAGAAAGATACCATGACATTCCCATCTCCACTGGACATGACGCTCGGGAGCATCTTGGCTCCCGTGCCACTGACGTCGTAGACATTAGCCGTGGTTTGATGCCACTGTCATAACTGTAAATTCGGAGCATACATCCAAGATCAGAATGATACTGCTCACGGTAGGGTATGCACGGCCCTATATAGGCCATGATTTAGACAACGAACCACTTGCTTGTTGCTACACACCATAAAGTCCCCATCTATACAGGGTATATTGGCGTATTTCGTCGATCCCAGAATCATCTACAACCATGTCAATAATTGTCTTCGCTTGACAGATAAACTGAAACATCATACGTTGATCATACCGTTCGCACCCCCAATCTCTAATCCGCAAAGCGCTTCTGGTTTCGCAATCTAGAAGTGTATCGTTAGAGCACTACAATGGTTGGACCAGCGAAGATTACATTACCCCCATCAGAGACCACAACTCCACGCTAGCTTCTTGATATCTAATGACCATAACAATTAGGCCTCACCTTTCTTTCATTCAGTGAAAACACTGACTCGTTGCCAAGTAGTCTCTCAGAGGACACTTCTGGGCTACCCATGCCCCCACCCCATCCAACTAGTGCATTGGACGTAACTGACGAAAAGTCAATCACCCGTACTGTTTCACCTGACCGTACGAGTTCTCTCAGTTCCAGGAAAGTATGTAAGGGGGACCCGCCACCGCCGCATCCCAATACATAGCAGCCATCTGCAATCCACTCCAGATCAACCTCGGACAGGAGCCATTCTCTTCTTTTTATCCTTGGCTCGTACTCCAGGATGTCGCTAGCAGTATGCATGGCCGGCGCCACAACGGCAGAGGCGGCGGTGGATGCTACCATTTGTGGCCGGGAGGCCGTCTCCCCGGTAGAAGCTTCAACACGCAGAGGATCATCAACCTCTGGCCAACTTGGACTAGCGATACCACTCCAGTCTCCGGCGGCCTTGACATAAAAACGGCAACGACCGCTTGTATAGGCGATCGGAATGACCTCGCTCTCCACTATGGCGACACGGTGCGGATCTGCGCCGGAAGCAATTGCTCGAGCGATAGCCCTGGCTTCGACATCAGTGCGAACTTGTACGATGGTTCTTGTGGATGTGTCTTCGAAGGAATCAATGATGCCTGATATCTTCAAATCGAGATTGAGTATCAATGGGGAGGAGAAGGTCATTTCCGCATTACCTGGGCAATGGCAGCGCCAACAGCATTCGCGACGTCGAAGTGAGGGAATCTGTGAACTCGGCTGATGCCCGCAAGAACATCTGGAGCAAGAATAGACCCTCCGCCGACCAGGTAGACTGGGATATCTTGCGAAGATGTTTTCATGGCATCAAGGTAGTTCTGGAGCATCTTCTTGATAGCACTTTGAGCGCCTTCGATGATCGACTGCCCAATTCCGGAAACAAGACTTTCGTTTCCAATGTTTGAAGCGCGACCTGCTGCAACAACCACGTCGGTAGCGGTCAGTGTAGAGCCACCGAACACTAGAGATTCAGAGGTAATCCGATGGCCAACGGAATAAGGACCAACAGTGACCTTATTTGTGACTGGGTCCTTTCGGACAATAGAACCCCCGCCAAGGCCAATACTAGCGCATAGACAATCAATTTACCATGAATGCTTGTCATACTGTCAACACCAGCACCTGGTAACATGTGGCATGGAGAAGTTCAGCAAAACCCCACAGAACTCGTGATGAGCGGCGGCTTGGCGAGGGAATCCACTAGGTCTAATGGGTTGTCAAGCAAGATTAGTATGGTTGCTAAAACTTCTAAGCTCTGTTCACGAACAACAACATTCCGATGTCTGTCTAGAATAAGACAACAATGAGCCTATGCTGGAGGTTGTCTCGACGACATACCGTTGTACCGCCAATATCAACTACTAGTGCGGATTGCTTTGAGATGCCCGACTCCAGTGCGGCCAAGAATGCGGCGCCGCGCATGGAATTCGTTGGGCCGGACGAACTTCAAGGAAAATCATCAATCGTTTATGATAACCCTTGTCACCGAGACCTCTTTGAGAGAAACACGCACAAAGTTCGAATAGGAAGACGTGCTGCCTGTGCGCAGCTGAGCAAGGTGCCATCATTGCTTGTGATGAAAACGGAGCACTTCAGCTCGAGGGCCTGAGCTGCCTTCTCGAAACCTATTACCGTCTTCTTTGTGTATCGCAATAATGCAGCATTCAAGATAGATGCGTTTTCACGCTCCAGCAGTCCGATGGCAGCAACGTCCTTAGAGCATACGACGTCCATTCCCGGAATGCGCTTCCGCACGATCGCTGCGACTGCTTCCTCCTGTCGGATCTCAAAGTCGATGGGGGCGAATACCGAGGACACAACAACTGCGTGTATGCCCTGCAAATCATCTCAGTCGCATCCAACGTGCCCATCATCGTTTTTCGTACCTGGCGATTGATTTCGTCGCAGGCGGATTCGACTTGCGCAACGACAACAGAAGCAATCTCACTTCCGTCAATTTGCAGGCCCCCTGAGAGCAGGAAGTGGGGACCTTCGAGTACTGTGGGAAGTGGACATCAGTACAGGACGTCATCGCACGTTCCACAGCAGCAACTCACGGTCTCGCAGCTCGTGCGGAAAGCCTACGAATGGTGGCGTTCCATGCGTAAAAGGGCCACACAGGCGAATGACCGCGACTCTATCCAAACGCCGAGGATCTCTTTCTACCAATGCATTTACAAAGTGCTAACATGATGTACGTGAATCAGGACGCAAGTTGGTGCGTGTACCAAGCGAATCTTACTGTCGTGCCAATACAGAGCGCTTGAATGTTCAACTTGCTCTGAGCCTGTGTCAATACGGACTCAATGGCGTTTTGGATTCCCAGAGTGACGTCCGCTGTAGTGAGATGTTTTGCTGATGCGAGAACCTGCCCTCTCCGCGAACCCTCTGACAGATCGAGGAGGACTGCATCGCTGGTAAATGTTTCTCGAGTCCGCGGAGTCGTGTATATTCAAATCAGGTACGCACGTATTTGTTCCTCCTACGTCAACACCTAACCGTAGGATAGAGTGGACTGAACTCATTTATGGTTGAAGGACTGCTGGTATCGTCTGAGACAGCTAAAAGCTAGGTGGCTACGATAAGGATAGCCAAGATTGGGACCGAACCAACCGTGGTGTTTTGCCACGACTAAATCAGTAGATAAGCGAAATTGAATATCGAACTTCAATTCGTATTGAGCGCTGAGCGCTAGTAGGTATAAGTAGTCATGTTACTTCAACAATAGCTTGAGCCATTGCGCGTGGATGGTTTTCCTGACCAGCACCACCAGGTCATCGAACCCGCCTTCATAAAGACATTCAGTGATTCTGAACAATCTGGAATTCGAGTGATTATCGCGATCGTGTCTGACCAGTGACTGGTCGACTCCACGCAATTGACCAGGTGCTACTAGTAAATACGTGCGCTGCCCAAGCACCATATAATGCAAAAGCAAGCCACGGAAAGAAAGAAAAACAATGAACTCACCAACAACACAGAAATAGGTAACTTGGGAATTGAGATAAACGTTCACGTGAATATTTGCCCAAAGTAGTAAAAGTAGGTGTACTTTGACTTGAACTACTGTTGGTAGTAATATAGCAGCTTGTATCACAGGTTCGGACGTTCCTCGGGTGCAGCGCACGAAATTTGGATCTTGAAGGCCACGGCATAAATCGGTTTCATACCACCTGTGTCCTTGTCATCGGTGCAATTATCTTAAGCCGCAGTAATGCCTTGGTCCGTAATGTGAAAGAACTCCAAGAGCGCGGAAGATTCGCATTGGACTTGAAGGGGAGGAATCGGGAGACGTGCAAACAGCGACGAGGAACTTTCAGCTACATAACGGTGTCAGCATCTGGATTCATTTTAGGATGAACGGCGGACTAAGAGGGGACAATCACAGCTAACCATTAAGTCAATGTTGCAGCTTCAAGTGGTGAATTAGAGACTTGGATTGATAGCAGTTAACGCAGGTGAAGCACAAGCACTTAGCAGGTTGACCAGAAGCCTCTTGAAACCCAGTCAGAACATCGTGAAGCCTTGAACCGAAAAATACGACAAAAAAGAGTCAGAACCTTCTCTGAACCGAAAAATAAGTAAAGGACCGTGAGAAATATATTCTAATTTGATACGAGTTAGTTCGGTTAGCACATGTTGGTTCGGGGCCAAGGCCGCGTCGCGTTTCTTGAGACCAACCATTCATCAAGACGTTGCAGAATTTTGATCGTCGACGGCCTGCGCAGGCATGGCCAGTCCATCAGATGACGGTCTAGCAGAAGTCCCATCAAACATGCCAGATTTCTCTGCCCCAGCCTTTTCTTCCGCAGGCCAACGCAAGCTTCGCCTCCAACAGCTTCTCGATAACAAGGAAAGGCAGCTGCAACAGGCGGGAACTCTCGGTCAGCGGGTTCTCGCACAGCAGATAGAGCTCGAAGAGAAGATAAGACAACTCCAGGAATTTGATGCAGAACATGCAGAGGATGAGGAACTAGATACTGACGCGCGCGAACGTTATCGCGAACTAGCAGAAACTATTGCTGCTTGGGACGCAGAGAACGCGCAGCTATCTGGTGCTTTTGGCCAAAAAGTGAGTCTTTCATTTAAAAATTTTAGGCAAGCGCCTGCTATTGGTGAATGCCATATGCACCACGCCTCGCCTACGAAATCCGTAATGCATCATGCACTAACGTGTAATCTACTTATTTCTAGCGTCCTCCTACACAGCAATCATCTCCAGCCTTACCAATCAATGATCTCCCTCGAGAGGAGCCCGAGCGTTCCAAAGCTTCAGCTTCATCTGCTGCCCAGTCTCGTCGTGCCAAAAATGCTGCCCATCGAGCAGACGACGTTGGCAAGTTTCTTTCACTCTTTCGGTTTTGCCTTCACGGCTCACCGTTTTTCCAGAATTTGCGTTCGAGATCGGAAGTGGACTCCTCACCGAAGTGCGACGGCTCCAGAGCCTTCTCGGAGAGCGCGATAAGGCCATCCAAGACATGAAGGAGGAGAAAGACGACCTCGAAAGGACCGTTGAATCTCTACGTACCGCGCTTCGATCGCAAGAACAGAGTTCAGGTTAGTCTTATAATATTGCTTTGCCTCGTGAAATTTACTTGCCGCAGACAAGTTCAAAGAAGAAAACTGGAACCTCGAAGTGACTCTTCAAGAAGTCCGTACCCAACTTTCAGACACGCAGTCGACAATCGTGCGCCTTGAAGGCGAGCACAAGCGCATCACGAAAGTGCTCAACAGCACACGAGAAGCAGCAGACCAACACAAGAACGAATCACAGCGCGTCCAAACTGCATTCGATGATATGAAAGCTAAGCACGAGACAGACGTGGCACAGGCGCGTAAGCATGCTGCGGGTCTACAGCGCGACAAATCAGACTTGCAGTCCGCGCTTGATACGCTGAAGGCGGAAGTAGAGAAAGCAAGCCGTCGCCTCGGTCCACGATTCGGGAGTCCACTCACGCCTGGCGCAAACCAGGGCAAAGAGTACTCGACCCCTGCTACAGAGGATGATGATGTCTTCACCTCAGCCAGCACCAACAACAGGCGAAAAATGGACAGTTCGGCCGTGTTCCAGCCTGATGTATTCGAGGATCTTGTAGACATTTCCCCCGACCCGTCACCATCACGCCCATTCCATGCGAGCAACCATCCCAATAATGAGATTGAGGCCCTCCAGCAGCGGCTTGTCCACGCCCAGAGGCAGATTAGCACACTCAAAGGCAGTCTGCATCGCGAGAAGGAGATGCGAATGGAGTATAGGCGCAAACTGGAGTCTTCCTCTGGGTATGTACATGATGAAAACGAGCCCCCAGAAGATGAGACAAATGACGATGACGAGACTGAGACTAAGCATCCTCGCCGGCTGACGCCATACCGTTCTGGTGGTGGCAGAGCCAGAGGCAGAAGAGGCAGGGGGAGGTCCTCCCTTGTTACCAGGCTCGGCATGGCAGCACAAAGTCCCAGTCCTACATCTGATTACAATGCATCTCCTCCTCCACCCGTGCCGCCCCTCCCCGACTTTGCTGACGATATTCTTTCCGACGAGGGTAACGCAGAGGGCGAGCCGGAAGAGCAAAACCTTGACTCCTTACCTTCTACCTCCTCGAAGCGAACGAGCGTTGAGGGTATGGACCCTATGTTTGCCAATGTACTCCGCAAGTCTGCGTCCTACAGCTCGCTTCCAAGTCAATCCAGCCCGCTTCGCCATTCCCTGCTGGCCCGCTCCTCGCCTCGCGGCACTGGGCGTGGTGGAGCCCCACAAAGACGCGCTCGTGGCGGTGCTGCTTTCCAGGAGGCCAGACCGGCGTCCCTTGTTGGGGAACCTGAGGCTTTGGCTGCAGAGCTTGGCATTGGCATGACGTCTGTCACTGAAGATGTTGAAGTCAAGATCACCACTGAAATGGCGTGTCAGACGGACTTCGAGGACGTGACGGTGCTTGTCCCCTCGCCCTCTTCCCCAGCGAACGACATGGGTGTGCAAGTCGAGCAAGCCCTTGAACCCGTGCCAGCATCTCCTACCACTTCTGAAATGTCGTGCCAGACTGACGAGGAGTCCTCTGTGGTGCACATGGAAACAGCTGTGCAACACGAACCTACTTCTCCCGTTGCAGCCCGCACAAGCTTCTACCAAATGCAGCCCTCCGATCGCGTTTTCATCGCACGGAGCTCGATGAGGCGCACGACGCTCACACAGTCTGATTTCTCTCGCTCGTTGGAGGGCGACAACACCTTACGTGGTGGCATTCCTGGTGAAGCTAACAGCCGACGACCCATTCCAGGTGGCTTCACCTCTGAGGAGGAGAGCGACATCGACGTTGATATTGACGACGGAGCGACGGAGACTGGTATAGAAACAGACACAGATGTGGATGATTACCACGACGCGCGGGGAAGTCTTGCTACAGAATCACGGGAGGACTTCCACTCTGTGTTGACGATGACGGACAACGACTTTTCGGAGAGCGATGATGAGAGTATCAAGGCGCTGGTAATCTCGAGGCGGTCGTCAATGACGTCTATGACGCAACATCGGGAGTTACGCCATCGTGACACAACTACCTACGAGGAGAGGGGTGTTGGTATGGATAGCGTTGAAGAGCCCAAGGTCATCGAGGTTATCAAGGAAGTGGAGGTCATCAGGGAGGTGGAGGTCATCAAAGAGGTGGAAGTCATCAAGGAAGTCGAAGTACCTGTTGAAGTCATCAGGGAGGTGGAAGTTATCAAGGAAGTCGAAGTATCTGTTGAAGTCATCAGGGAGGTGGAGGTTATCAAAGAGGTCCCGGTAGAGGTCATCAAGGAGATCGAGATCATCAAGGAGGTTCCAATCGAAATCATCAAAGAAGTACCTGTGGAAGTCATCGAGGAGGTCCAAGAACCAGTTGAAGTCTTGAAGGCAGTCGAAGTGACCAAGAAGGTTGGCGAGCCCTCCAAGCCAGAGCTAAAGGAGATGTCCGTCCAAACGGATATTTTTACTGCTTCGCCCGTCATTGCAAGCTGGCAAGACACCTCTGCGTCATCCATGACCCCCACTGCCACTCCCGCACCCTCCCTCCCTGCGTCCCCCGCTCTCTTCCGAGTGGGCACGACAGTACAGCAGTTCCAGTTCGTCCCTGCACCCGCCATTGCAGCGCCCGCTTCTCCTTCCCCCTCTACTATTCGCGACTCCAGTGTCAGTACCACAAGCTTCGGCATCATTCGTTCTGTTACCTCCAATGCAGACCATCGGCGGTCGGTTGAGTCTGCAGTTTCCTCTGGCGCCGACGATGGAATTCGTCGTTCAAGAACTGCTTCTGTTGTACCCTCCATTGTAGACAAGACTCGTCCCCCTATGATGGCCTTGCCACCACCACCTCGCCAGCCGCCTCCGCCTAGCACCATGGCACCGCCCCCTTTCATCCCGGACAGGAGAGTAGCCACTACGTCCTCGACATCGGACGTGCCGCCACCTCGTCCGTCCTCCCCCCCACCTCCAGAACTCATACAGCGTGCCACCACACCGACCTTTGGCACAATGCTTTCCGTACACGGCAGGGGTGGTGCTTACGGTCCAAGGCAGCATGGCTCGAGTATGCCCCCGCCTCAATCAAATTTGCGGCAGCCGCCATCCACAAGCAGTTTCCGGTCTGCTGCTAATGCTGCGGCGTATGCACAAAACTCGGCTCCACCGTCTGGCTTACCATCATGGGGTGTACGCGAGCAGCAGAGGAGGGAGATGTCGAGCACGTCCCTGGCGTCAGATAGAAGCGCACTTTCACCACGGTCGTCCATATCTTCGGACCACAATGTCTTCTTAAACCGCACTCCTGGCGCCAGCATGCCCGTTACCCCTGGCAAGAATGTCGATCAACTTAATGACAACAGAAATAGTATGTCAACAGACCCTGCAGTCATCCATGCGATCACCCAGACTATGATCGGCGAGTTCTTGTACAAATATACCCGGCGCACCATTGGCAAGGGCTATGGAGAGAAGAGACACAAGCGGTTCTTCTGGGTGCATCCGTATACCAAGACTTTGTACTGGAGCTCTGCTGACCCTGGATCATCAAACGTTTCAGAGTCGAGTGCCAAGAGCGGTGAGTGAAATGATGTAATGTTTCTCTGAATGATGTTGAATTGACGGTTTGTGTGGCTACAGCTTATATCGAAGGTGTTCGCTCTGTTTTAGATCCCAATCCCATGCCTCCTGGTTTATACCAGTACAGCGTAGTGATATCCACAGCCCAGAGAGAAATGAAGATTACCGCTCCTACCAAGGAGCGCCATGACATTTGGCTCAATGTCCGTTGCTCTCGTTTAACTTTTGGGTGGACGCTTACATCTTTCTAGGCTTTGAAATACCTGCTTGCTCGTCCCAGCCCTGTAATGACGCCCTCAACCAGTCAGAATGAAAATGTGGCCCCCATGAGTCCCATGTCTCAAAGCGCAGAGCTCACAGACGATGATCACCGTCATTTGACTGATACAAGCCCCAAAAGTCAACGAAGTGGCCGAAGCAGCCGGAATGGTGGCGCTTTCAGCACCACGCCGCGGGGCAGCCGGAGTAGATCACAAATCTCTATGCGAGGGTCTGTAGGCAAAAGGTCTGGAACGCCAGCCGCAGAATACCTCCGATGGGCAGCGCCCGAGAGCCCGTACAGCCCCGCAAGGTCCTTCGAACGAGTTATGGGTCACAGCCAAGACGACGACGACCTTGAGTTTGAACTCCATGGCCAATCCCAGTCAGACGACGGGTTCGAGGGCTTGGAAAATGTGCGCGCCTGTTGTGATGGACGTCATACTGTCGGTCATTCTGGTCATCATCACCATCACTCCCACAATGGTGACCACCTTGAAGTTAACACTCCTGCACGGCCGGTGTCTCCTGCGTGGTCGCTTCGATCGCGAACGGGGAGTGCACACTCTCATGATACAGGCGGTTTGTTTTCATGGGGCCGAGGGGACGATGGGAAGCTTCGCTTTGGCTCTCGACGATCTACAAAGACTGTACCTAACGCTACTGGTGATCGGTAGTTAGGCGAACAACGCCCATTTCCTCTCTTGCCTTGCCTATTTTTGCTTTTCGCGCACGATATCTCGCTTTCTCGCAGCCTACCCTCCCTGATAATGGTCTTCGCTATATCATGATATAAATCCCTTATATTCTGTGACTTTTTTCGTTCCATGTATGCATTATTTCAATTTTTGCAGTTACCCAAGACTTTTGAGAACCAAACCGCTCCTTGTATCTCACTGGAATACTACCTAACATACCCACACTCCTTTGCTCAATTCCATTCGATTCGCCATCTACTGAGTAAGTTCAAACAATCAAATCTAGTACATAGTAAGTTATATTTGATCCGTCGCTGCTCAACCCATTACTACTTCATCGACTTTAGATCGGTGTATGCAAAAACCCTGGCATGGCGTGAGTTTATGTACGAAGAGTGAAGAGCTGGAGTAAATGCAACGTACTGGCGTTACCCATTCACTGTTGCAGCTACAGCATACGCCAGCCCAGTCATAGTTGCCGAGCTTGGCACTGCACTTCGGGCAAATAATCTTCCCTGCTAATTGGCCACTCTCCAAAAAAGGTTCCATCCATTTCATCTGAAAAGTCATGATTATTTGTAGATCGACGACAGACAAATAAACCCCTACTGGTTCGACAAAATACCCAGAACACTTGGGATTCATGAGGATCGGTGGACTGATCGACGATCTTATCCCTGTCATACTCAACGACGGAGGCATGCGCAGCGCCGCGAGTTTCGGATGAGAGTGCAGCTCAGCTGCCAGGTCCAACGGAGGCTGCAGCGGCCCACCGGTCTTCGATGTATCCTGGCTCTCATGTACAGGCGACAGCACACGCACCGTCTCGGATTGCGTGGTCGTCCCTGTTGATGGGCCGTCATTGGTGGCGACAGATGCATCGAGTGCGTCCGATAAGTCCTTTCCGAGGCCTTCCATTGACATTGAGGATGATCGCGAGGACTTCACGTCAACTCTAAGGGGAGGCAAATCGTCTGTGTGCCCGTTCTTGGGTTCATCTGGCTCGTGATCATCATCCGTATCGAGTGCTGACATTGAGAGTGATGACATCGAAAGCGATTCCATCAGCGCCCGCGCGCCGAGGCTCATGGACGGTCGCCGTGAGGACGTGCCGCGGTCGTTTGCAGACGGGCGCCTCGACGTGGCAGGCGATAGCGAGGGCAGAGCGGGCGTTGGTGGGCCTAGTTGCCCATGATCGAGCATGTGCTCGCGCGTCGCTAGTTCTTGCCTGCGAAAGGTGGCGTGTATGAATTAGCACTGGGGAGCATGACATAATCTGATGACTTACCTGCACATCTTGCATCGTATTCGACGGCTTGGTACGATCATCGGTGTGTTGGGTACAGAATCAGATGGTGTTCGTGGATGCTTGGCGAACATTGCATTGTCTGGAATCGTCCCATCTCCATCTATGATTCAATTGATTAGCATTGATCTTGAGCCTGAAGCGTCGATTATCATAGGCAAGGTAGAAGGTAGACTTACTCATAATTTCCTCCATCGTCGTTCCAGGTAAAACATACGGGTTGCCTTATCACGCCGCGTGAACTTGTATGACGATTGGTGAAACACCTTAAGTTGTTCCATAAATCCTTCATTTGGCCTACAGAAGCATCCTCATCTGGGTGCATGGAACGAGGTGAAGTAACTTACTCAGCGATGGCCTTACTGTCCTTATCATGTCTACAGCGCTTTCTGGGTCGAGCTTCAACGAGTACATGAGGTACGCTGCGACAATCGTTGCGCTTCTGCCTGTGTGATCAGATGTCAAAACTGATGCTAGCGGGCTAGCGGAAGAGAAGATGACGTTAGTCGGCCAAGCTCGAACGTACTGATTCCAGCCATGCAGTGCACGAGTACACCACGACCCTTGTCGAGCTCGTTCTGGATAAATGATATTGATGGTAAAAAGTGCACGAGGACATCTTCATTTGCACTATCGTCAACGTTGACTTGGTATCTGTTAAATATCTAGAGGTATCTGCATCAGCGTCTGCCTCGGATCCTTTGTCATACATGTACTAGAGGATAATTGGGCACAGGAACCTGGGACTCGAAGCGCTAGTGGTACGCACCGCATGAATGGTAACTTTGCCCCGCATCGCTGTTAAAATGCTGAAGATGTTTCTCTCCTTCAACCCCTTGACATCCAAAGCGCTCTGCAGATCTCCAATCCAAACTCCTGGTACAACTTCATCCATCGTAAATGGTAGATAAATGAGGTAGGTTGTGTATACTGAATCTGCTCAAATTTCCTGTTAAGACTATTAGTTATATTAATACTTCGGGACCTCGACCAAGTTTGTGGTATGCCAATGATGAGGCGAGTGTTAAAATAATTTAGCGGTGAACTAGGAAGTACGAAGTCAAATGAATGAACCACTAATAATCATTCGCCGTGAAACGTCGGGATGGTTGTCAACGCTTTACACGGAGAGCTCAGGTTTATTCATGAGCACGTGAGCAAGTCGGTGAGCATTGTTCATTGAAGGGGTTGAACCCAAATACATGCAAATAAGTGGTACTTGGTTCGGAAAATCCATTAATCTCAATGCTTTTGTCTCCGTGTCGGGGAATACAATGCACGATGTCAGGTCTATAGTACAATGCATCGCTTATGTATGTTGCCCGCTATAAAGATCAGACATTCTTCTCCAGATGTTTGACGTTTCTCATCTGTCTCGTCTCAGTTCACACTGTATACTCTTTGCTCTTCTACCTTCAAATTCGACACTCAAGGCAGGCCTTGGGGACCCTGGTGGACACTTCAGCTAACTGAACATTTCATCATATCGCTCTCTAAGTTGTTATTCTTTGTATTCTCCAATAATGGACTCGTCTGCGTCTGTTCGTCCGACACTCCCCCCGCTTCATTCACTTCATCTTCCTCGTGCACTCAAGACTCAACGCCCCCGCATCGATGCCACTCCATGACTCGTATGAATTGAAACGCCAGGTTAGTGGACCTATAATATACACGGCTTTTACTGAAAGCAGAGTAATTTCCAGGTTCCAAGACTGCATATACCCAGCAGTCAATATTCACATTCACACCAGAACCGTCAGGTTTCTATCTCATCCTCGACGTCTTCTCGCACTCCTTCCCCCACCCCTTCGCCCCTCTCATCTTCGCGCTCTCCTACTTCTGGTGGTCAATCCACTAAAATGTGTCTTGTACCTACCACTTTCGAGTACGCCGACGCAGTCGTTGTCATTCCTGATCCCGATGCCCCACACGTACACCCCCTCTCCGGCGTCACAAACCTTAAACAACCTGCGCAGCCCGTTCTTCTGGTTGGGCCTG